TATATAGTTTTGATTATTCTTTTTGTTTGGACTCACTAGGCGTAAGCCTAACACTTCTTCTTGCTATGTCTTGTTTGTCAGGTTCTTTTAGCGGCGGGGCTCATAAAGGTTGAGAGGAGCGTTGGTTCGTGAAAGACTCTTTTGTAGTTATAGCCTTTGTTACTTTTGAGCATTGCGTTTTTGATGTTACGATATTTTGGAGATTGATAGAAACACCCGTCTTTAATCTAGATATAGAATAGTCTAGATTAGTAGGTTGTTATTTATCATCTCAGTAGCTGTATTGTAAACGCTATATTATTACCTTTTGTTGGGTGAATTTATATCAAGATTCTTGTTCTCGTTAATTATTTTCGGTTTAAAATATATTTTTCTTTGGGTGTTACAATTGGTATCAGAGCCCTAGTTTAAGCGAATTAGGTAGGGAGTTAAGTTGCCTAGACTTAAGCTGAAAATTATAAATGTTGATTTGTGCGTTGTGGGTAGATCTTTTAAGATAGAAAAGTTTTAGACTCAACGGGGTTACATAATACATGAACGGTAACGATAGTGTTGAGGATCCTTATGTATAACCTACTCAAAATTTCACTTAGCTGATGTTATTTTTAGCAAGTTACTACATAAGTGTGCTTGAACTCACTTTTATTACAAGAATTTATGATTGTGTTAGTGCCGTATTATGTTAGTTTCGTATTCCTTATTTTCCTAACACTCTCTCGCTCTCTTGCATGGCAGTCTCTATGGTGAACACTCGGAGTAGACGAGATACCTCACCAGAAGGTCACGCAGAGACTGAATCTACCGCGGATCAACCGCCACGGATCACTATCGCAAGGGTTCATCCTAGACAAAGCAGCTTGGGCGGTGGAACTGACCACGTTCCCCAAGTTAACCTTGCCACCTCTAACCCCGTTTTAGAAGAGGAAACTCCGGAGTCAAGAATAATGGACACAATGATGAACGCTATTAACAGAGCTATGGCCCAGCAACAAGAGTTCGTTATGAAATTGTTGGAGGATAGAGATGCCAACAACCGTAAGCATGAAGCGGTCACCGAGAACACGACTATTGTGGGATCCAGGGGTACTGGAAATGGAATCCCAACCCAAGAGCTAGCAACAATTGATGCAAGACAAGTGGGGAGAGTTTGCTCCTACAAGACGTTTTTAAGTTGCAAGCCACCGGAGTTTGTGGGGTCAGATGATCCCGTGGCATGCATGAACTGGCTTCGAGAGATTGAGTAAGCCTTACGGGCTTGTGACTGTGATGAGGGACAAAAAGCAAAATTTGGCTCTCAAATGCTAAGGGGTGCAGCTCTTACTTGGTGAAACATTGTTATATCAACTATAGAGGCTCAAGAGCTAGCCAAGATGAGTTGGACCACGTTTAAGGAGAAAGTATTGGAGGAATATTGCAACGAACAAGAAATGGACCGTATTGAAGAGGAGTTCCGGACCCTTAAGAAAGGAAACTTTTCAGTGAGAGACTACACATGGCTATTCATGGAAAAAATGAATTTAGTAGGACATGTGGCTCCAACGGAAAAAGAAAAAAAATGAAAGCTTATCTCAAGGGACTGCCCGCAGATATGATGGTTATGGTTAGGAACTCTAGGGCCTCCACCCTTAGGGAGGCAATTGAAGAAGCGAAAGTCATGGAAACGGTTTATGCTCAAGGAAGAGAAGAGAAGGGGACAAGTGGTGAGAAGAGGAAGTGGGAAAATCATTACGCACCTTCCAAGAGACCAAGTCATCTCAATAACAGCAATCAGGGAGTTTACCCGAGACAAGAGGCTAAGTGGTGCTCCAAATGCCGCGCTAAACACCACGGCCCATGCACCACCAACCCTACTCCTGCAAAATGTTTTAAATGTGGGAAGCCAGGACACACGCGAAATGAATGTCCTATCAAAGGACCCATCTGCTTTGGATGCGGGGAGCCGGGTCACTTCAGAAATGACTGTCCGAAGATGAAGGCGGGAGGGGGCCAGGGAAGGAAAGAAAATACCCCAAAGACAACCGGCCGAGCCTTCCAGATGACTATGGAGGAAGCCAAGGCATCGTCGAATGTTGTGTCGGGTACGTTCCTCGTTGATTCCATACTTGCTCACGTACTTTTCGATTCAGGTGCTTCATGTTCTTTTGTGTCTACAACATTCTACCAACTCTTGCATACGCCCCCTAGTACTCTAGAAGATGCCTTGATCATTGAGTTAGCAAACGGTAGTAGGGTTCTGGTGGGCGAGGTTGTTAAGGGTTGCGTGTTGGGAATCGAAGGAAAGGAATTTCAGGTGGACCTTATACCCATGACTATCGGCGGATTCAACATCATTATTGGAATGGACTGGTTAGCAAAGAACCAAGCGGAAATCTTATGTTCTAAGAAATTAATTCGAATTCCTTTGCCGGACGAGGGTGCAGTGCTAGTTTATGGAGAAAGAAAGAAGGGAGACGTAATACTCCTATCTGTGGCAAAGGCGCGCAAATGCTTAGCTAAGGGGTGTCCCTCATTCATTGCATACGTGTTGGATGCCAAACTAGGAAAAAAGAGGATTGAGGATGTGAATGTGGTCAACGAGTTTCTTGATGTATTTCCGGAAGACCTACCCGGTTTGCCACCCGTTAGACAAGTGGAGTTTCGAATCGATCTTATTCCGGGAACTGCTCTGCTTGCTAGAGCCCCTTACCGATTAGCTCCTTCTGAAATGCAAGAGTTGATGTCTCAATTGAAGGACCTTCTTGTGAAAGGATTCGTCAGACCGAGTTTGTCACCTTGGGGAGCTCCGGTCTTATTTGTGAAAAAGAAGGACGGCACCATGAGGATGTGTATTGACTATCGGAAACTCAATAAAGCAACCGTGAAGAACAAATATCCTCTCCCTAGGATTGACGACCTCTTCGACCAACTTCAGGGGGCCAGTTGTTTCTCTAAGATCGATCTTCGTTCAGGATATCACCAGGTGCGTGTGAAAAAAGATGATGTGGCAAAGACAGCTTTTAGAACACGATACGGACACTACGAATTTTTAGTCATGCCTTTCGGTTTGACAAATGCGCCAGCGGTATTCATGGACTTGATGAACCGAGTGTACCGACCATTCCTTGACAAGTCGATAATAGTGTTCATTGATGACATTCTCATTTATTCCAAGGACGAATCGGATCATGAGCAACATCTTCAGGAAGTTCTCGAAATGTTAAGAAGGGAGAAATTGTATGCAAAATTCTCCAAGTGTGATTTTTGGTTAAAGGAGGTTCAATTCTTAGGTCACATAGTCACTCGTGACGGGGTGAAAGTGGACCCATCCAAGATCGATGCGATGATGAATTGGGAACTACCAAAGAGTCCATCAGAAATCCGAAGCTTCTTGGGTTTGGCGGGTTATTACAGAAGATTTATTCATGATTTCTCCAAGGTTGCTTCTTCCTTAACAGCTTTGACTAGGAAGAATGTGAAGTTTATCTGGACTGAGAGACAGGAGCATGCCTTCAGAACCCTCCAGAAGAAATTATGTGAAGCACCAATTCTCTCCTTGCCAAAGGGGTCTATAGCGACGCATCGAAAATGGGATTGAGTTGCGTCTTAATGCAAAGGGGAAAGGTGATTGCCTACGCATCAAGACAACTCAAAGATCACGAGAGGAACTACCCCACCCACGATTTGGAGTTAGCGGCGGTAGTGTTCGCCTTAAAACTTTGGCGACATTACCTTTATGGTACCAAGTGCACGCTCTTCACTGATCACAAGAGCTTGAAGTACATTTTCGATCAGAAGGATTTGAACATGAGACAACGGTGTTGGCTCGAGCTGCTCAAGGACTACGATTGTGAATTACTTTACCATCCTGGAAAGGCAAATGTGGTGGCGGACGCCTTGAGTCGAAAAGAGTACAGCAGAGGGTCGAGAGTTGTACTTACTAGAATCGATTTAGTGTCCAGTCTAATCGATCGGATCAAAGTGGCACAATCCAAGTCTCATCGACTTTGGCGGGAATTGGGATTCTCACCTACCTCTAGTAGAGTTCGCCTACAACAATAGCTATCATTCCAGTATCGGGATGGCACCTTTTGAGGCCTTATATGAACGAAAATGTAGGACTCCAGTATGTTGGTTGGAAGCGGGTGAGAAACAATTTGCCGGTCCCGAAATCGTGCAAGAAATGGCCGACAAGGTGAAATGTATCCGGGAGCGCTTAAAGGCGGCGTAGGATCGACAAAAGAGTTACGCGGACAAGAGGAACTGACCTATAGAGTTCCAAGTGGGCGACCGAGTTATGCTAAAAGTGTCCCCTTGGAAAGGTGTTATTCATTTTGGAAAGCGTGGGAAGCTCAGTCCTCGTTTTCTCGGGCCATTTAAGGTTTTGGCTCGAGTGGGGCTACAAGCTTACAAATTAGAACTACCACCAGAGATGGCCGAAATCCACAACACATTTCATGTGTCTTACCTTCGTAAGTGTCTGGCGGATGAAGAAAGTGTGATACCGCTATCAAAAATTCGTGTTGATGAGAACAGCCAATGCGTGGAAGAACCGGAGGCCATCTTGGAAAGCAAAACCAAGGTGTTGAGGCACAGGGAGGTTGTTATGGTCAAGGTAAAATGGAAGCATCATCGAGGGTCAAACGTGACTTGGGAAGCGGAAGAGGACTTGAAGAGGCGTTACCCCCAGCTATTCGCGTGAACTCAAATTTCGAGGACGAAATTTACCTCCCTTAGTCTCCATCGCCTCCCTGTCGGGACTTCTTCCATCCCGTTTGCATAGTATACGCCCTTATTTATATTTGTATGTATATTTTTATATGGGTGTATTAAATATTAGGGATTTAGTACCCTTTTTATTTTATTTGATCCTTTCAAAAGGTGGAGATCCTTCTTGATAAATTACCTAGTTGTAATGTTAGGACTAGGGGTAAAAGTAGGAAAAGGGGGGGGGGGGTGTTACCTCTTGTACTTTTACCCAAACCAGTGGACATTCCCTCCTTAGAAGGTCCTATCTCTTTATTTTATATTCTAGCCTGCTGTCCTTGCTTTTTAGAGAGGAAGTCCTTTGTTTTGGGAAGAGATTTTGAGAGTTTTGGGGGAAAAAGGATCCGTTGTGGAAGCAACCAGTCGAGGGAATAGGAGGAGCATTCTCTCTTTCAAGACTAAYTAAACCCCCCTTCTTAGAATTCTTCTTCAACTTCCGACGTCGATCCCTTAACTCCGGCCTCGGCCTGCGCAGTGACTGCCGGTGTGAGCTGTGCGCAGGTGCTGCAATCGTGTCCTGCCCGTGGCTGTTTCCAAGCTCCATCCGAGTCTTCATCTGTGCATCTGCTGTTTTCGAAGTGGTCTGCGCGAGAGGCTGTTTCCCGAACCCCTGCACATGGCTGTCTCCGTGCCTCAATCCGCTACCGCCCTCTTGGACCGCCGAATAGCAAACACCAGACCTTGCCGTGCTGTTCCTTCGTTCACTTACCGAGCAGCAGCAGCAGCAACCTGCTGCTATCGAGCCTGCCGTGCTGAAATCTTCACTGCTTCGCCAAACACAGCAGCAACAGCCGCGTTTTCTGCACCTGCAGCCGCACCTTGGACCACGTCGGACAGCAGCAGCAAGCTATTGGTACTGTYGTACCCTCCCCGAACAGCAAACAGAAGAGGAAAAAACAGCAACAACAGTGTTGTTTGTTCGGCAACGAACGTGAGGAAACGGTTTACATCAAACTGCTGTTTGATCAYGCAGCAGTCGCAAACACAGCARCGGACCRYTGTTTGTTACGCGAAGCTGCTGTGTTAAACAKAAAATCGGAGCAGTAAGATTTCTGTTTTGGGAACGTAGCCAGTTACTGGTCCGAGGAAAGGCGACCAAGCAGCTGTTTCGGGGGCATGTCCGGGCCTTGATCGGAGCAACTAGCTTCCGTTCTGAATCCATAACTCCGCTGCCTTTAATTTCGGGACTTTRGRATTTCTCCTAAATCCTCCAAGGTGAGTTCATACTAACCTTTTAGAGGCTYTATATYYAATGGAATGATGTACCATGCTTGTCTTACACTAATATTTTAGATGATTACTTGTTAGATTTAAGTAGAGACTTYGGGTCAAAAGTGAACTTAGGGATCTTATTTACARTCACTASATGAGTTTGGATGAACAGATTCTAACCACTTGGTAAAATACTCATTTCAAAAYATGATTTGACACGAAACTCTAGAACCCGTACGTTCTACTTATGGGKTTAGTCWTCGGCAAATGGGAATGTTTTGTTTAAATTAAGACACATGCAAGATCCTACGATTGAATAGGTACCAATATGCATAAGGTACCGAATTTAAGTATAACATTATTAT